CCTCACAGAGCCCCATTCATCCTCATCCAACTCGGCTCTCGGGCTCAAGAGAGAGCTGCATTGCCTTTTAACTCCTTTGGCATTGGGGCCAGGGGACCAGAGCTTTGGGGGCGGAGGGACCTATTTTAGGGCAGGGTGTGTCACAGGAATCCCTGCAGGGGGACTAGACCTGGGCTGGGCTACACTTCTCTCTTGCTCTTGCCTCCTCAATCCCCTCAACTGAGTATATGCCAAGGATAGTGTCTTGCATACAGTAGGTGCTCAATAAATGATTACATTGAACTTACAGACATGAGGAGTGTGCCTGGCTCACAATGACTCTGACCGCTGTACTTCCTGTAATAGATGCCACCTTTCCTGGGCAGGTGGAGAGGACCAAGTCGGAGCTGGGCCGTTTAGCTAGATCTTTCCCAGAGACCACAATGATTGGTTCAAGGGAAAACATGTGACCCCCTACTGGGCCAACAGTCTTCCTTGGGCTTTTAAAAATGAGAGCCTAGAGGGACATATTCCCTTCTCTGGTCATGAGTTGTGAGAGTGAGGCCACAGCTGCAAGCGTCCATGTGTCTTATAGTACAGAGAATGCACACTATTCCCCAGACACAGCTTGGGCCAGAATTAAAACAAGGATCGTAGTAGTACAGATGGTCCCAGCATAGGAAGATTTGCCTCGATTTTTCAATTTCATGATGGTGTCCAATCGTACTGCAAAATTTCAATTTTAAGGGTGAGATTACGAAGCTTGCATCCACATAGCATTGCCTGGGCTTGAGTCTCGGCTGTGCTTCTTATCCCAGCTTCCTGCTGATGCGGGTCCTGGGAGGCAGCAGCAATCAAGTGACCGGGTCTCTGCCCTTCTCGTAGGAGACCTGGATAGAAATGTTAGTTCCTGGCTTCAGCCTAGCCCAGCCCCTGGATGTTACAAGCATTGAGGGAGTGAAACAGTGGGTGGGAAAACTCTCTCTGTCTCTCAAATAAATAAATGAATTTCAAGGAATTTTTGAATTTGGATCTTTTCCCAGGCGAGTCATATGCAAAATGATTTTCTTTTGCAATCCTGGGCAGCAGCAGGAGCCGCAGCTCTGTCAGTCTCTCAGGAAGGAAGCAAGGCAGACTGCAGCGCCCGTCCGTGTTGCTGAATGAGGCTGTTTCCTAGTGGAGGTGGAAGAGGGGACTTCTAAAAATTTGTGGAAGATGGAATTAAAAGACTGGTTTACTTTGGTGTAAAAAGTTTTGAAATCCCATGTGAACATTTTTCATAATACACATTTCCCATGAATTTTTGAAGACCGCAAGTATGCAGGGATTTCAAGATTTGTTTGCAAACTTACCTTTTAATTCCATTTTCCATGACCGATTTAGAAAAAATATTTAATTTTTATTTATTTGAAAGGCAGAATGACTGTGTGTGGGTTTGGAGAGGGAAATTTTCTATCCTCTCTGGCTCATATCCTAAATGCCTACAACAGCCGGGTCAGGGCCAGGCTAAACCCAGGAGCCAGAAACTGCATCTGGGTTTCCTATGTGGATGGCAGGGACCTGAGGACTGGAGCCATCACCTGCTGCCTTCCAGGGTGCACACCAGCAGGAAGCTGGATGGGATCTGGCCGTGGGACTTGATCCCAGGTACTCTGCTAGTTTATGTGAGTGTCCCAAGGGGTGTCATAGCCTGCTGCTCCCCAGTGCCCTTTCTCCATGACCTTTCTGAAGTACTCATATCAGGGGCCAGCATTGTGGCATAGCAGGTTAAGCTGTCGACTGCAATGTCAATATCCTATATGGGCGCCCCTCGAGTCCTGGCTCTTCCACTTCTCATCCAGCTCCCTGCTAATAGCCTGGGAAAAGCCATAAAAGAGGACCCAAGTGTTTGGGCCCCTGCCACCCATGTGGGATACCTGGAAGAAGTTCCTGGCTTCTGGCTTTGGCCTGGCTCAGCCCTGGCTATGTGGCTATTTGGGGAGTGAACCAGCAGATGGAAGACCTCTCTTGCCTGGTCTCTGTCTCTCCCTCTCTCCGTGTAACTCTGTCTTTCAAATACACAGATATTTTTTAAAAACAACTTACGTTAAGTACATTTTTTTTTGGCTTATGATATTCTCAATTGACAAGTTCGAGCCACCACAAGTGGAGGAGCGTTGAGGGTGGGTCAGCCCAGGCTGTAGGTGTCCTCATTCTTGAGTCTAAGGTGACCTTTTCCCTCCCTGACCTCTTGGGGCACAATGAGTGCCCTGCCCCATGGCAGTTCCCACATTCTGTGTGGACTCATCCGTGCACATCAGAGGGAAGACACTGTACTTGGCACTGGGGAGCAAGAGAAGACTAGAATCTGGCTTTATACTACTTAGAGCATGCATGTGCATGTTTGTTGTATCAGTCAGGAAAGCTGATACTTGCCTAAAACGAACACCTTGTACTTTGCAGGGAGAAACATCCGCCAACGTTTCCTTCTTGTTCACATCTCACAGCTGTCGTCAGGGTTCTAGGTCTCTGCTCCAGGTGGCCTTCATTTAGGGACTCTGCTAATGGAGAAGCAGTGGTTGTGGCCAAAGGAAGACAGCACAGTGCTCTGACTCTTGCAACTTCGACCTGGAAGGCACCCATCACTTGTGCGCACATGTCATTGATGGAAACAAGTCACACAGCCATGCCCGGGGTCAGCAGGTGAGAGCAGGAACACCCTTCCAAGGGAGAGGCACAGAATTTTCACGGGCAGTGCACAGTCTACCACACCCTCTTCCCTTGGCAGTTGGGTTGCTTCTTCGCAGCTCTGCTCCCTCCATAGCAGTGCACCTGGTGCTTTGTACCTGGTGAGCACTGTAGGGCCACTTTTCTTTTTCTTCCTTACTTTCTGTCTATCCCAATTGTAACGCAATTTAAGGTCTGTTTCACTCACTGATCTATAAATGGTCTTGGGTTAGATCTATGTCTGTGTGCCATTACAGAAACTTAATTATTTCTTTATTTACAAGAGAGCACCCTATCTGTAGCTCACCCCTGAAATGGCCACAACAGCCAGGGCTGAAGCCAGAAGCTGAGAACTCAACTTGGGTCTCCTATGCCGGTGGTAAAAACTCAACTACTTGAGCCATCAAATGCTGCCTCCTTGGGTGCTCATTACCATGAAGCTTGAATTAGGGGTGGAGCAGGATTGGAACCCTACCACCCCCCTGTGGCATGCAGGTATCCCAGGCCAAATACCTGACCCCTAATCACGTTTCCATAAAGTCCTGCTTCATGGCTGTAACCCAGCACTTAGCCCAGCACCTGATGCACACTAATGCCAGTTCTTGAATAAATGTGAGAGTAGGAAGGAATCCACCGAGATATTTACACCTGCTCCATTCACTTGATGGTCTAGCTCCGTGTACCACCAAGCCCTGTCTCAGGGCCAGGGATGGAGAAGGGGACTGCCTCCCATCACCACGCCCTACTCCTGGAGCTGGTGATTTGAGCAGGATCTCACCCTGTCTGCCTCCCACAGAAGCAAATGAAATTGCCAACAGTGAGCTGCTTCTTACCAACAAAATTGGCAATTTCATGTGGTTCAACCTAATCCGAAACAGATGAGAGCTCTGTTTGATGCTGGGAGTCCCCATCCGTATAGTACCTCCCCACCCCACTCCACCCCACCCCCGAACACACTCACAGAATTCAGGCATGAAAATCTCTGGGAAAATGATCTTCTGGTCCTAAAATTCCACATCCCTGATTCGAGTGCTCCTGCAGGACTCCCGAGGCATCATAAGCCACGGGTGAGATACATCTGAGGACACAGCCCCTCCCCCAAAGCTGATCCCAGCACCTAGGGGGGATCCCCGGCCCCAGGGCCTACACTGGCAGCTGCACGCAGCATCTTCTCTGTGGCCTGTGCCCCGTGGCATTGATTCCCGTGCTAACTAGATGAGAAATTGCCACCCACTTTCTTTGCCTGGCTCTTGCATGCGTCTCTGTCAATGCCCGTTTACATTCTGGGATTGAACTAATTTGTTTCCCGTTTGCTCCTGGCTGCAGGCTTGAGGCAGCTCGGCTTCGCTGCCCTGTATTTGCAACTTGGCAATCCCCCTCCCCTGGCTTCTCCCACCCCCCAGTTAACCACATCTGAGGGTAAGCAGGATTAGCAGGCTCAGTGTGATATGATTCTGGCACTTGTAGCCTGCACGCTCCTGCTACTGTGGAGAGCTGGGGGTGGGGAGAAAGGCGTGGGAGAGACAGCTCTCAGTGCCAGGCTCGGGTGCCGCCCAGCTGGGAACAGCCCCGGGCTGACAGCAAACAAGGAAGAACCATCACGGTGAGGACGATGGCCGCAGGTCTCTGAAGAGTCCCCGTCCTCCCTCCTGTTCCTGCATTCCAGGCCATCCTCTCCGCCACACCTCTCCATGGCAAGACATCATTGCTAGATCCATGCTGAGAGTGTGGAGCTCGTTCTGCTCCTGGAGAATGGAGGTTGGGTTGAAGTTCACCCCCAAGCTGACAACTCCCCAGTTCTTTGCTGCCAAACAGAGAACTTGCGCAGTGTAGAGTCAGGGCCAAGTGGCTGAGATGGGAGCAGGTGCTGCCGAGGCGCTCAGGCGGGCCATGCGATGCGGGCGAGCACCGGCAGCCTCAGCTCCCCTGCGGGTTGGAAGGTGATGGTGCTCACCCCTAGGCCGCCATCCAAGAAGGACCGTCCTGAGGCACCACCCTCGGAAGTCAGCCGCGTGGCCCTGTCACCAGGAGGAAGGAGCCCCAGCCCCAGGCAGTAGGGTGGCTCTGTAGGGTCTGCAGCCGTCTTTCCAGGTTCAGCAGTAACCACAGCCAGGGGTGTGGGAGGACTGAAGACTCAGTCCTTGGGGTGCCCTTGGAAGTCACATCTGGACTCACAAGCTAAAGGTTTCCAGGGGATCTCAGAGCTTTGGGACAGAGTTTGGACCTCAGAATGGGTTCTGGGCACTGTCATGACTCAGAGCACCATGGCGATGGGCGAATCCCACCCCACCCCACCCCACCCCCACCTCCAGCATGGCTAAGAGTCCACAGATACACACCCCCAACCCCAGGGGTAAGCACCTGGCTTCACCTGGGTTCTCCTGACAGGTAAGAGAAAAGCCAGATGAACTCACCTCCCACTCCCAACTTCTAGAGAGTAAGATCTGAATGGTAGGCTCCCCGTGGCAAACCCAGGCCCTGCTGCCCTGGGGGGAAATTTTCAAACTTTCAATTTCTTATCATAAATTCATCATTTTTTTTAAAATTGCATGTCAAGCCAGCACGAACATATTTATATAATTAAAACAGTGTTTCATGTCATCGCACAATCCTCATCCTTATCATCTTCTACCATTGTACTGTTATTGTACAACGTGATGGGACGTGTTGTGTCTTTTTCTAAGCTTTATCTATTTATTTGTTTGGAAGGCAGAGTGACAGAGATAGAGATCTTCCATCTACAGTTTCACTCCTCAAACGCCCACAATAGCCGGGCCAGGACTGAGAAAGGAGCCAGGAACTCCAACCAGGTCTTCCATGTGGGTGGCAGGAACCCAAGTACTTGTGCTGCCTCATCTGACTGTCTCCCAGGCACGTTAGCAGGCAGCTGAATCTGGAGCAGAGGCAGGACCTGGTCCCAGGCACTCCCGGATGTGCTGCAGGCATCGCAAAGGAGCGCTTACCCCACTGCACAACAACGCCACCCCGATGATTTGTCTTTTATAAAATGCTGGTCACGGGGCCAGCATGGCAGAGTAGTAGGTTAAGTCCCAGCGTGGGACACCCACATCTCCTATCTGAGTGCCAGTTGAGGCCTGGCTGCTCTGCTTCTGGTCCAGCTTGCAGCTAATGGCACCGGGGAAGGCAGCAAATGATGGTCCAGGGATGTGGGCCCCTGCCAGCCACGTGAGACGTCACAATGGAGTCCCCAGCTCCTGGCTTCAGCCGGGCTCAAATCTGGCCCCTCCCATTCTCAGCTACCAACCTAGGGCTAAAAAACAATCCTGACTTCGAACCCCTAGCAGTGCCTGTTTGTTTTGTTTTGTTTTGTTTGCCAGGCAGAGTTAGTGTGAGAGAGAGACAGAGAGAAAGGTCTTCTGTTGGTTCACTCCCCTAATGGCCACTACTGCCGGCGCTGTGCCGATCCGAAGCCAGGAGCCAGGTGCTTCCTCTTGGTCTCCCATGCGGGTGCAGGGCCCAAGCACTTGGGCCATCCTCCACTGCACTCCCTGGCCACAGCAGAGAGCTGGACTGGAAGAGGAGCAACTGGGACTAGAACCCGGTGTCCCAACCGGGACTAGAACCCGGGGTCCTGGCCCCACAGGCGGAGGATTAGCCAAGTGAGCCATGGCGCTGGCCTGTTTTTGAACATTATAAGCATCAAATCACACAGGGTATGCTTCTCTGTATCTGATACTGCTCCTCCCTGTCCCGGGACACCTCCCTGTCCCTGACCTTGACTGAGGCATTTTCATTCTCATTGCCAAACCAGATGGAGTTCAAGGAATGACTCCACGGTAATTCATTTCTTCTTTTTTTTTTTTTTTTTGTAAGATTTTATTTATTTATTTGAAAGATGGAGTTACAGAGGCAGAGAGAAAGAGAGAGGGAGAGAAAGAGAGAGAGAGGTCTTCCATGTGCTGGTTCACTCCCCAAATGACTGCAAAGTCTGATCTGAAGCCAGGAACTTCCTCCAGGTCTCCCACTTGGGTGCAAGGGCCCAAGGACTTGGGCCATCTTCTACTGCTTTCCCAGGCCATAGCAGAGAGCTGGATCAGAAGTGGAGCATCTGGGACTCGAACCGGTGCTCATATGGGATGCTGGCACCACAGGTAATGGCTTTACCCGCTATGCCACAGCACTGGCCCTTGTAATTCAATTATTGGCTTTGGGTCTCAGCATCACTCCTGATTTGGGGCTGGAAGCACCACTCCATTCTTACACATTTTGGTGAACAGGTATGTTCATTTTTGTTCAATGTTTACTCAGGAGCAGAACTGTATGGCTGCAGAGAATGAAGATTGGTGTTTAGAAAATGTTGACCAGAGGGCCAGTGCTATGGCACAATGGGTTAAGCCCTGGGCCTGCAGTGCTGGCATCCCATATGGGTGCCGGTTTGAGTCCCGGCTGCTCCACTTCCCATCCAGCTCCCTGCTGCTGGCCTAGGAAAACAGTAGCAGATGGCCCGAGTGCTAGGGCTCCCACATCTGTGTGGGAGACCCAGAGGAAGCTCCTGGCTCCTGGCTTTGGATCTGCCCAGCTCCAACCATTACATTGCGGCTATTTGAAGGAGTGAACCAATGGATGGAAGACCACTCTCTCTGTCTCTCCCTCTGTCTATCTGTAACTCTGCATCTCAAATAATTAAATAAATCTTTTAAAAAGAAAATATTGTGGGTCAATTCTTAAAAAATGAAAATAGTTCCAGGTTCCATTTTTCTAATATTCAATATGATGGTAGTTTGTAGAGAGTCCCACAGGGCATTAAAATAAACATTCTTACAGCAGAAATTACGCCATTGAAGAGAAGAGCGATAGTGAGAAAATCAGCCAGTATCTGGTATTCTGGGCATGCATCTTCCTGGTTCGTCACTTTAGGATTAAAACATGCCGTGTGAGCCACCAGGAATGCTGCAATTGTCTCAAAAGCCATCCAGGATCACAGCAAGGTGCTTTCCAGCTCACTTCCAGGAGTCCACATCCCGTGCCCAAGCTGGGAGCGAGGGCTGCACCTTGCATGACGGTTGGTGTTTAGCTCACACCTGCAAGCATCAAGGTCTGGGGAGGCCGGGGCTGGCACTGTGACACAGCTTCCAGTCCTTGCTGCTCTACTTCCATTCTGGCTTCTTGTGTGTGCACCTGCAAACCCAGAAGCAAAGGGCCCCCATAGTCTGTCCCCTGCCACCCGCATGGAAGGCCAGGATGGAGTTCCAGGCTTCTGACTTCAGCTTGTCCCAGACCTGGCTGTTGCCACCATCTGGGGAATGAACCAGCGGATGGACGATCTCTCTCTGTCTCCTACTCTTTCCTCTGACATTCTGCCTTTCAAATAAATAAATCCCCCCCCCCCAAAAAAAAAAAATACACAAGCAAAGCTCTGGGGAGGTATCGTGGAGCCATCGTAAGGCTGTGAATTCCGTGACCTGGTTTTGAAGCATGAGTACTAATCGGAGACCCTGTTACCTGATACCTCACTGCGCCTCTTGGGTCTGGTGCTTTGTACCTAGTGAGCACTGTAGGGCCACTTTTCTTTTTCTTCCTTACTTTCTGTCTATCCCAATTGTAACACAATTTAAGGTCTGCTTCACTCACTGATTTATAAATGGTCTTGGGTTAGATCTATGTCTGTGTGCCATTACAGAAACTTAAATATTTATTTACAAGAGAGCACCCTATCTGTAGCTCACCCCTGAAATGGCCACAACAGCCAGGACTGAAGCCAGAAGCTGAGAACTCAACCTGGGTCTCCTATGCCGGTGGTAAAAACTCAACTACTGAGCCATCAAATGCTGCCTCCTTGGGTGCTCATTACCATGAAGCTCAGACGGTCCCAGTGCAGCCTCAGTTGCCCACACCAGTTCCTTAAAATGCATCTTCCACTGTCTTTCTCACCTCTGCCCAGCCTCTCCTTCCCCTCTTCCTCACCTCTGCTTCCTGGGACAACCTCCCAGGTACAGCACCTGCATCAGGTCCTTTGCTCAGAGGCTCCCTGTGGAGACGTTGTGTAGTTTGTGTCTTTGATTCCCCAGTGATCATGATCTGGCTCCAGCTTGTTCCTCCATGAGTCCAGAGATCTTTCTCACTGATGAACCCGAAACAGTGCCAGGCAGCTGATTCTCAATCAGCACTTCTTGGATGTTGAAGAAAACATGCAGATGCAGAAAATGTTGTGATCTAGGAAACACCAAGATGCTCTGGCTGTTGTCCCTGGTGGAAGGGAACATACATCATGTCCATGGAGGCCCATGACATACACCTGCCCGGCGGCATTTCTGTGATCTCCCAAGTTTGCAACACAGTCTTAGCATTACAGAGAGGGTAGCTGTGCCCAGTGGCCCACTCCTTTGAAGCTTTGTAGAGGGGGAGTGTGACTGGTCTATTCCTGGTGTAGCCCCAGGGCTCAGTCCTCAATCCTCAATCAGGCGCATAGTAGGGGCTCAATAGATATCGGCTGAATAAACAGGCGAGTGTAGGTGTCTTGCCTAGAGTCACTGTTGGGAAGTGGTGGAGCTTAGATTTGCACCCAGTTGACTTAAAGCCTGAGGTCTTTGGCCACACCAGGCTGTTGCTCCACTTCTAGTCCGCTGGCTGTCCTTGTCGCCACTCACCATCTCAGAGGTTTTCCCCAAGCCACGTGGCTGAACATGCCTGTAAGTAAAAGAACTACAACGCATGCGCGACATTCGGGATTTCTGAAGAAGACAGAGCGGTCCTGCCAGAAGCTGGCCCCAGGGCGGACCCCAGGGTGCTGGCTCTCTTGCCCTGGGTCTTAAAGCTCCTCAGTGGGCTGGCCGAAACCTCAGCCAGAACCACCAGACAGATCAAATGGTACTTGGCTGGGGCGTCTGGAGTCTGGCACGGAAGTACTCAGACTTAAGGACAAGAGGCTAGAGAAGGCTGGAACTAGGGCAGCTGTGGGGAATCTCGCTGGCAGCAGGTCTTGGAATCTCTCTCCAGTGTTCTGCTCTCACTTGACTCAGCTCAAAACTCCCTGCACTGTTCAAATAATTAGGCAATAAAAAAAATCTGAATGCATGTTGGCCACCGATGGCTTGGCTCTCCCAGGGTCGAGTAAATAAATACCCTGCTACAACTGGCTGTGGTCAAGGAGTTGTGACACCATGGAGCAACAGCTTTCCTGGGCCCATGTGTGGATCCCATCCGCTCGGAAAGTAAGTCAAGTAGAGTAGGAGGTTGAACAGCACCTTCTGCGAAATGCATTGTTCTGCTCCTCTTGGCCTGGTTTATCAGGCTAGGACAGCCAGGGTCATGTCCCTGGGAGTGAAGCACCTCATGGGGGCAGTGAGAAGAGCCTCTGAGGGCATGTGAGGTTGGAGTTGGCGTAGCCAGGTAAATGCTACTTCATGAAGCAGAAGGGCCTAAGAGGA